TCAGCAGGCTATGAAATTTGTTGGGCATATAAACAATTGGGCCTTTGAACAGGGTGGTTTTGAGAGCAGAGCATTAACAAGGAATGACAAACCCCAAACTGACAGCGCGTCCCATGCCACAGGAGGTCTGGAATGAATGGTTGTAAACTACCATCTCCACCGTGTCTCTGAGTTAGCACCCATTTAGATGTTAGTCTTCCGCTCTTTTCTATGTTCCAAACCAAACATCTTAGTGTCAGTGCAACGCGATATACATAGGATTCGTTTTCCATAAGCGTTACCTTTTTGGTCCCCATCAAGGTTCTTTGTATGGAATGATATTTTTCAAGTATGAAGATGTATACCTAACATTTTGTTTTTAATGTTTCATTGCTCATTCTCTGAATGCATCAATGAAAGTGGTAAGAATATTCACTCGTTTTCTCTCTTCTGCTGTGAACAACTGTTTCCATTCTTCCAATTTTTTTCAGAAAAAGGGTTGGAGCGCTTGCCGTCACAGCCCCAAACTCCCAACAAACCGTAAGTGCCTCCAGCAGGATTCAGAGGCTCTTAGTAGCACACGCTGCCCAAGGAGCCCACACTCTCTGGCCCAGAGGGGACCCTTGAGAACAACACTCCTATTCTGCATTGCCACAGGAGACCCTGTGTTCACCGCCCGCCTCATTTCCAAGGCCGCAGTGCGACAGGACAACCAGCACACAGAAGTCCTTGTGATCCAAGCGTCCAAAAGAGGAGACACATGCCACGTCCCTATGGCTGGTGGCTCAGAGGGCTGCGAAGCTGCTCAAACAGCGGCCCCTGAATCTTGCCTTTTGGGGGGCAGAACTCCCCGGCGGAGGAGGCCCAGCAGCCTGGCCCGTGACCACACAAAGACCACAATGGCTCTTCCTTCCCGTGCATGAAAGAACAGGCGGTGGCTGCCGATGCAGGAGAGACTCGTGGTGGGGGAGGGGGGGAGGAGGAGGACGCCAGCGCCGGAGTGTCCAGAAGAGCTCCCGGGCGGGGGGCAGTGGCTCCGTTTTAATCGTCTTCTCGGCACATCGGCAAGTTGACAAAGGTAAAGACGTTAAACTCTATCATTATGGAGAAGCACAAGAAGATGGCGTAGAGAACCAGCACGTAGATCCCCAGCTTCCGGTCCAGCCTCCATTTGTTCAGATGGATGCCGAGGACCTGGAAGGAGAGGGTGTGAGTGTTGGGCTTGGGGGCAGAGAAATACTACAAAGGGTACTTTTATTGGAAAACTACACACGAACGGTGAACCCCAGAACTTTCTGCAAAAGGTGGGCAAGAGCGGAGGGGTGCTGCCGGTAGATCCTTGGTTTGATCAGAATGAGCCCTGCAGGCTTTATGCTTGTCTAATGAAAGGGTGCAGACTCCAGGCACACACAGCAGCTGGCCTCAGGGCACCGGCTCTGCCGGGGCACGTACACCACTTCCTGGGGATGCACATGCCCTCCCGGGCCTTCTTTAGTGACAACCAGGGACTCTCACTGGGTCTTCCCTTTGCTTCAGAGCTTGGCGTCCTCAGCCTCTTCTTCGGCAAAACTTCCAAGGCTCCCGCTGGCCCACGTCTGGCAAACTTCTGCTTGGAGTGTGTGTGTGTGTGTGTGTGTGTGTGTGTTTGGGAGACCGGGTTGGGGCACATTCTCTTTCTATGTTCTTTCCATACTTGCAAACTTCTGCTTGGAGAGAGAGGAGAGAGAGAGAGAGAGAGAGAGAGAGGACAGAGAGAGAGAGAGAGGAGAGAGAGAGAGAGAGAGAGAGAGAGAGAGAGTGTGTGTGTGTGTGTGTGTGTGTGTTTGGGAGACGGGGTTGGGGCACATTCTCTTTCTATGTTCTTTCCAGACTTGCAAACTTCTGCTTGGAGAGAAAGAGAGAGAGAGAGAGAGAGAGAGAGAGAGAGAGAGGGAGAGAGAGAGAGAGTGTGTGTGTGTGTGTGTGTGTGTGTGTGTGTGTGTGTGAGACGGGGTTGGAGCACATCCTCTTTCTATGTTCTTTCCAGACTTGCCCACCTGTCCTTTTACAACCTTCTTTCTTATCCCTGAATTGAGGCCTCCTAAGGGTTGGATCACAGTTACCTCACCAGAGCAATGCCATGGGTCCTTAGAGACAGACCAGCATGGGTTCAAATCCCAGCTTTGTCATTTCCTATCCCTGTGACCTTGGGCACTTTACTTAACCCCTGAGCCTTGCTTCCTTCTGCAAAGTAGAATATCATCAGGTGCTTGTAAGGATGGAATAAAGTAAGCAGAGGTAGAGTCAGCACAGCTTGGGGCATGTGGAGTGAGGAGACCTCAGTGTCACGGTGTGCCAGCCCTGAGACCTGACCATCAGGCCCCCATGTCAGCTCAGATGGGCTGGGGGAGGACTTGTCTCCTATTGGCACTAGTGAGAGGAGACAGACCGGGCAGCAAGAAGAGAGGAAACATAACTCACTTCCTCTAGGGACTTCTTAGTGGCTCAGGGAAAAGTGCGGTGTTTGGTGCCAACATTCCTAGCAGAAAGTGTTTCTGGGGCTATCTGTGAATTTATGTTTTTACTGCTTTACCCCTCACTGCCAAGGGGAAGGGGGAGGGGATTCAGAGACTGCGCATAATCAGAGGAAATGATGTATGTGTGAGGCTTCTATTTTGGAATTGCAAAAACTCACGGTGAGAGCAACGGAGCCCAGCAGCAACACCACGGAGTAGACCAGACCCCGGCTGTTGATCTTCACCTGGAAAAACAAACACACATGCCCTGAACCACTGGGCTGTTCGGGCCCCCATCCGTTCTGGAAGCCCATTGTGCTCGGGCTTATCCCCTCCCTTATCTGGAAGCCATAGGTGGGTGTTCACAGTGAGCACGTGGCCATGGATTCAGGTCTCTGCTCATCTGAGGAAATGAACTAGGAGGGGAGAGGCGTGCCGGTGGGCAGAGACACGGGGCCGAAGCACCCGTGAGTGCAGGGCAAACACGGGCTGCCTCCTGCAGGCACTGCCCAGGCTGCTAGGGATGCCTTTGCACAAAGTGGCTGCCAGCGTGCCAAGGAGAAGGGGGCAGTGCATCCCCTGCAGCCCTCGGCTGGCACAGGGCCAACACCACTATCACTCCCTGTAAAGCGCATGTGCCTGGCATCATCTCACTAAGGAAGCGAGATGAACTTACCGTGGATCCATAATTAATAACCATGGTCTGCAGCCCCCACGGTATGCCGAGTCCCACGAGGATGTCAAACACGTTGCTTCCTATGGTGTTAGAGACCGCCATGTCACCAAGGCCTGCAGGGGACAATTGACATGTCATGCATTAAGAGCAGGTCACTGGAAACCCCTGTTCCTTCCCATTTCCATCATTGTTATTCCTTAGAAAGGAATTCCTTCCTCATGGACCCCACATTTCTAAAACCTTTTTTTTTTTTTTTTTTTTTGTGGTACATGGGCCTCTCACTGTTGTGGCCTCTCCCATCGCGAAGCACAGGCTCCGGATGCGCAGGCCCAGAGGCCGTGGCTCATGGGCCCAGCCGCTCCGCGGCACGTGGGATCCTCCCAGACTGGGGCACGAACCCGTGTCCCCTGCATCGGCAGGCGGACTCTCAACAACTGCACCACCAGGGAAGCCCTCTAAAACCTTTTAATGAGGACTGAGATCCACTCCCTTCATGAAGTCTTACATGTGAGGCCTGTAGTGGGTTGAATTGTGCCCCCCCCAAGATTCATATGTTGGGGTCCTAACCCCCAATACCTCAGAATGTGACCTTATCTGGAGACAGGGTCTTTCCAGGGTAATCAAGTTAAAATGAGGTCCTTAGGGTGGACCCTAATCCAATATGACTGGTGTTTTCATTGAAAGGGGATGTTAGGGCACAGGCATGCACACAGGCAGCGCTCCATCTGAACATGAAGACAGCCATCTGCAAGCCAAGGAGAGAGGCCTGGAACAGACAGAAGGAACCAACTCTTCTGACACCCTGATCTCGGACTTCTAACCTCCAAGACTGTGGGACAGTCAGTTTCTGTTTTCCTGTCTCCCAGTTTGTGGTAGTTGCGGCTGACCTAGGAAACTAATGCAGAGCCCTTCGTTATTCCTCCTGCCAGGGGCGTCAGCCGGTGTTTTGGGAAGACCCACTATGTGCTTCTTCTTTGAGCCTCCCAGGTACTCTGGGAGGGAAGGGGCCTCATCCTCAGGGTACACTTGTGACCCAGGTGATGGCACCACGACCTTGACCCAGACGACAGGGCATCAGGTTTTCTGTCTGGGTGGTCTCCCAAGAGTGACCTCTTTCCCCCCAACCAGACTAGAAGCATCTTAGAGGTGAGGGACTGTGTCACCACCTTCCCTCTCCTGCCCCACTGTCCAGTCTCATGAAAGCCACACAGTCTTAGGAACTTAGTAATTTGAGAGGTATCAAAAGTTAGTAAGCAAACTTTTACAAATAAGACTCATGCGGGCTGAACCTGTTTTCACCTGGCCCCTTAGCCTTAAATGGACACGACTGTCATAATCTGGCCACAAACAAACATCCGTGGAATGAACAAGCCTGAAACACACAGGCCTGTGCCCATAAAGTTGCCTTGGTCGCTGAGAAGCTCGCAGAGACTCAGAAGAGCATCCTGACGACTGCCTCACCTCCATCTGACCTCCTGCCCCCCTAGTATAGCCAGGCCACTTCCTCCCGCCCTGTTGCTGTCATCTGCTGACCTCCAGGACACAATGCCTCCCTCAACGGCCTCACAGCTCCCTCTCTGCCTGTCTGGGCACTGATCTGAGTGCCTTCAAAATCTCGGCAGCTGAGTCCTATCGAGGGGCGGTACCTCTGGGAAACCTGCCTTCCAATCTCCCAGGATTTTGTGAAACAGGAATGAGCAGCAACTGTTTTGGACCAGCTAGTTGCCCCTGGTGAGGAGGCAGGCACTAGCCGGATAGGTCAGGAGGCACAAGGATGCCCAGGTTTGGGAGAAGAGAGAGGAAGGCTTCTCAGGTTTGACTGCCTGCTCTGCGCAGGCACTGCTCTCTGAGGAATCTTACGGCAGCACTTCTCAAACTTTAAGAGCACACGACTCACTGGGGGTCTTGCTAAAAAGCAGACTCTGGGGGCTTCCCTGGCGGCACAGTGGTTAAGAATCCGCCTGCCAATGCAGGGGGCACGGGTTCGAGCCCTGGTCCGGGAAGATCCCACATGCCGCAGAGCAACTAAACCCGTGTGCCACAACTACTGAGCCTGCACTCTAGAGCCCGCGAGACACAACTACTGAAGCCCGCGCGCCTACAGCCCGTGCTCTGCAACGAAGAGTAGCCGCCCTCGCCGCAACTAAAAGAAAGCCCGTGCGCAGCAATGAGGACCCAACGCAGCCAAAATTAAAATAAATAAATAAATAAATTTAAATTAAAAAAAATAAAGTTATAAAAATTATTTTAAAAAAAGCAGACTCTGATTCAGTGGGTCTGGGACGGGGCCTAAGAGTCTGCATTTCTCTCAAGCTGATGCTGCCGGCCTGGACCACGCTCTGGGCTGCGAGCCTTCAGGGAGCCCAGGATGCAGAGCCTCTGTGTTAGAGCTCACCGCACGGCTCCTGCCTTGCGTGATGGACTCCGAACAGAGGTTTCTGTATACCCTGCCATAAAGAATCTGTCCAGGCTTTAACCTGGTCTGCTGGACCCTCTGCCAATCACGTCAGCATCACCCTCACGACAGCTATACACTCCCGCCTCACCCCTCCTGTTTCTGCGTTCTACATCTCACAGGAGCCACTCTGAGATGATGTCCCCACCTGTCCTTGTTCCTACAGAGCCCCGTTGACCTCACTGGGACCCTCCCCTCCAAGCCCTGAATCTTCTATATCACGACCCCCACCCCCAACCCGCTAGCTTGGACTCCAAGGCCAGCTGTTTAAATGGCACATTCTTTTGCCTCCTTGACCTTCCACTGTGTCCACCCAGCCAACCCCAGCTCTGGATGAACTTGTGATCTCTCATCTGTGTGCTGTTGGAGCTGGTATGCCTTCAAATTCATGCCGGAATCCCACCCAAATTCACGTCACTGAACATCGGCCAGGCCCTAGGCGCTCATCGGCTTTCCTTTTACTCACTGTACTGGGTTGAATAGTGCCCAGCCCTCATGTCCACCCGAAACCTGTGAATGTGACCTTATTTGCAAATAAAGTCTTTGCAGATGTGATCCAGTTAAAATGAGGTCATAATGAATTAGGGTGGGACCTAATCCAATGACTGATGTCCTTATAAGAAGCAGGAAGTTTGGACAAACACACACGGAGGGAATTATACCACGTGAAGACACAGGCAGAGACTGGACGGATGCAGCCACAAGCCAAGGATTCCTGGCAACCACCCGAAGCTGAGAGAGAACAAGGAAGGATCCTCCCTAGAACCTTCAGAGAGAGTACGGTCCTGCCGCCATCTTGATTTTGGACGTCTAGGCTCCAGAACTGAATCCATTTCTGTTGTTTTAAGCCACCCAGTTGGGGTACTTTTGTTATGACAGCCCTGGGAAATGAATACACTCACCTCAAAGGTCACTCAATTCAATTCCAAACCCTTCAGCTGCTGTCCCCAACTGTCCCCATTCTCCACAAGGCTCCAGCCTACTGCCAAACATACCCCCACCCTTCCCTTCCCCTCAATTCGTGTTTTCTCAGGACTGACTGACCAACTAACCAACCCTTTCTTTTATCTTGAAGAAATAAAACTTTTCCCTTCTTTCCAAACCAAGTTTCTCTCTGGACCCTGCTCTCTTCTCTGTCTCCTCTGAGATTCCACTCCATTATTTGCCCATCCCGCCCCCCATACTTTCAAATTTCCATCTACAGAGGACGATCTGTGGCGGTCCGGGCTTGGATGCTATCTCATGGGTAGAAAGGGAGCGGTAAAGGAAGGCTGGCTCTTTACAGCTCTTTTGTTCTGTCATCAAAGAGCATACTGGTATTCCTCACCTTGCTTACCCCATGGCACTTAGCTGCAAAGAAAAACCGCCAAGCAAACCATAACATTACATAAGGTGTAGAATTCTGAAGGAGAATTGGAAAATAGTTGGAGACACAGGATACCCCCACTTGGCTTTCCCGGGATCAGAACTTTTCTCATTACTATTGCATTTGCTGTATAAAGTCTGGGCTCGGGCTTCCCTGGTGGCGCAGTGGTTGAGAGTCCTGCCGATGCAGGGGACACGGGTTCGTGCCCCGGTCCGGGAAGATCCCACATGCCGTGGAGCGGCTGGGCCCGTGAGCCATGGCCGCTGAGCCTGCACGTCCGGAGCCTGTGCTCCGCAACGGGAGAGGCCACGGCAGTGAGAGGCCCCCGTACCGCAAAAAGAAAAAAAAAAAAAAAGAAAGAAAGAAAGAAAGAAAAAAAAAAGTCTGGGCTCCAGCTCTGCTCAATCTCACATTGGTGATGCCGGAACAAGTTCATCCTTTTTTTTTTTTTCCTTTGGCCACGTGGCGCAGCTTGTGGGATCTCAGTTCCAGCAGTGAAAGCCTGGAACCCTAACCACTAGGCCACCAGGGAACTCCCAGAACTAGTCCATTTTTATACAACTCCACACAAATGCTTCTAGAGGTCTGGAGGAGTTGATCTTGGTAGTATTCTCTCCACGGATGGAATCTAATACACGATGCTTTCCAGTTGTCACAGTTTCCTTCATAGCAGGATGTAACGACTGCCAGTCATGAGAGCCACGAACTGTAACTCGGGCTGGGGGTAGGGGCCCGTATGGTGATGCTGACTGCTGTCAGGGCTGAGGCGTGATCCATACCTTGTCTCGTCACAATTAAGCTGGCCATGCAGTCTGGAACGCTTGTGCCTGCTGCAAGGAAAGTAATGCCCATGATGACATCGGGGATTCCAAGGGTGTATCCAATAATAGTCACCTGCAGAAGAGTCGGGGGAGATATCAACTCACAGAGGAGCAGCCCTGGAAAATGTGCTTAGATCTGAGTGTTTGTAACTTATACACAGTACTGCTATATCCAACAGAAAAATCTGGAATACGGTTTTATTTTAAAACCATCTTTTGCGTGTTCTTTTTTCCAGATTACGTAATACGTGTTTACTGTTTTAAAAAGTTTAGAAAATAAAGTAAAATGAAAGTAAAAGTCACCTACCATTTCTCAAGACCCTCAGACAACCACTATTAACACTCTGCATCAGCCCATGATTCTCAAATTTGAACATGTAGGAAATTCTCTGGTGAGCTGGTTAAAATAAGATTTCCAGGTCCCACCCCCAGAGCTTCTGATTCAGGAGGTCTGGGGTGAAGCCCAGGAATCTGCATTCCTAACAAGTTCCCAGGTGGTTGGGACCCTGAGGCTGCTGGTCTGGGAATCACATTTGAAAACCCCTGCTTTAGAATATACCTTGACCTTCTTTTTGGTGTGTGTATTAGACAAAAAATAAAATCAGATTATAGCACCGACCTATATTTCGCAGCTATTTATTACACGTAATAATACATTGCGAATATCTTTCCAACTCAAATACTCATCTATAACATTATTTTAAACTGACGCATGGATTCCATTGCATGGCTTTAAAGTTTTCACCAACCCGTCACTGGTGAATACAGAAGTGGTTTCTGTTTTTGCTCTTACAATATCACTGTGTGGTAACAAGTAACATTTAATGAGCACCTACTGTGTACCAGGTCCTCTCCAGGTGTTTTACTTTCATAGTCTCAGGTACTCTTTATTATTCACCACCCACTGGTGAGAGAGGCACTGTTATTATGCCCAGGGAAATGAGGATCAGAGAGGTTAAGTTACAATGCTCGTGGGCATGAAGCCGGTGAGCAGTAGAGCAGGGATCCCAGGCCAAGTCTTTCCAACTCTGAAGCCTGCGCTCCAACCTCGCCGTCATGCTGTCTTGTGTGAACTTCTCTGGGATCTCATCTTACTATATCCTTAGGATAAGTTCCAAGAAATAGAACTGTTGGATCAAAGGATTCGCAGGCTTTTAAGGATCTTGAGGCATGGTCACATAGTCCTCTAATAAATGCCTGACACTTGGGAGGTGGTTGGGCCCTGAGCAGCAGCCAGATGGAAAGCCCTAGAAAGTACTTGGACAACCCCATTCAAGACGCCCATTAGTCCTGGCTCACCTCCCCATCTAGAAAAAGGGAACAGTGGCATCTCTTAGGGTTGTTCGCATCTTGGCTGATGGCTCCAATCCCAGCAAATGGTTGGGTGACTTAGGATAAGCTGGTTTGCTTCTCTGAGCCTCAGCTCCCTCATCTGTAAAATGGACTTTTAAATGAGGATTAAGTGAGAAAATATGAGGTGACAGTGCCTGGTCTGTGCAAGACATTCATAGATGTATGTTTCCTTTCTCTTTCAATCACTCGTCTTGCAATCTATGGGGGCAGAGAAGATTAGGGTGATCAGACCCAGGTGAAGTGTGCTTTCTAAGGGCAAAGCTCAGCCCTGGAATGTAGTCAGAGCTCATGGACTAAAATGATATCCCTCCTAGGACAAAGCTTTGCAGATGGGTTTGAAGATGCTCTCCCCTCAAAACAGTGCTCAGCTCAGCATCACCAGGTGTGGAGCAGAGCACACACTGACTGGCCTACCCTGGGCCGTGAAAGAAGAGAGACACTGAGGACACCAAAACCACACAGCTGTTCGATCCATCAATGCTTAACCCATGCTGGCCATGAAGGAGGTCTCCACAAGACTGCCCAGGCTGTGGCAATACTGGGGATGCTTCCATTTTTTTTTTTCTTAAATTACTGAACTACATGGCTAAGAAGCCGGAGACTGGAAGGACAGAAGGAAGGTTTTGTGTGCGTGCACACACTCTCCAAGTGTTCAGGACCAGAGATGCTACGTGAGTGTGGCTTTGCCTTGGACTCCAGCCCTGGGCTCTAGGAGCCCTCCTGATGCTTGGGCTTCAGAAAGGGAAGCAGAGGCGAGTCCAGAGCTGGGCTGACCATCTGCCTGACCTTGTGGAAGTCACGCCTCCTCTTTGGTTTTCACCTCCCCAGTTGGGCAAAGGTGCTGGACAGGATGACCCATTTTGGAGGTCTCTCCCTTTTGACAGTGACACTCAAGAATCGTTTTCTGCAAAGCGTTGGGGGTGAGAGATGTGAAGGGTGGCTGGGGTAGGGTGTGGGCAGGTGAGACGTCACTGCTCCCTGGCGCCCCCATCAGGACATGAGGAAAGTAAGAGCATGGCCCCCAGGCAGGCACATCTCTCTTCAGTAGAAATCAGGCTAATGTGGCACTGTTGTCTTTACCATTTTCTACTGTGGAGGCCATTCAATTACCTCAAACTGAGGCTAGCTGAAGTTCCAAACCACAGGTAAGAGTGCCCCAGCAAGGTGGTTCCTGTATCTCCTGCCAAGCCACTGCCAAGGGTCTCTGCTTTAAGAAGTGAGAGTGGGGTTTGTAAGTCAAGGTTGGGGGGATGGGAGTGTTATTAAATGTCCTACCTCACTGCTAATGAGTAGAACTGATTTCACAATACTGTTGTTTTCATTAATTAGAGAAGAAACAAATTTCAAACATTCATTAATTTGATCTTCCCTAATTCTCACACCCACTCAAATGTCACGAAATACTTTTTTCACTAGCAATGTTGTTTGGGGAATGCACTTTAGTAAGAGAAATCCCTGGACTCTTTCATCAAATGTAAAGAGGGGCTGACCTTTAACCCTATTCGGAAAAATTTAAGTTTGCAAATTCAGTTCATTTTGAGGCCAGTTTTCATTATGTCTGATTGCCATCCTTGCACACGCACGTGCACACACACGTGCGCACATACGCACACGCATGCACACACACCAGCATCTACGGGGATTTAAACCTCTATCTGAACAAGCGTGGAAACAGTGTTGGCTGCATCTCATGGTGAACATGGCTGATATTTACAGTCATGATCAATTTGCTATGCTGCAAGCTCAGACCTGATGCCTGAACAGAGACCTTTCATTCTCCCAATAACCAGTCCATTTCATAGAGGAGGCAACCATGGCTAATGGAAGCTGAGTCACCTGCCCAGGTTTCACGGCTCACAGGGGGAAAACCAGGATTCACATCCATTCCCATGTGACCCCACGGCTCTTCTTTCCCCAGCACTTAACCTGGGGTTAAGGGAAAGGGGGCCCCTGTGTCTCTGAAACCAAGACAACCTTGCCCTGTGTGTTAGGTGTGAGGGGACCTCAGGTGTTAGGACGAGAGTGAAGTGGCTGCATGCATGCCACTGAGGCATGAGTGGCTGACAGGCGCACTTCCCAATAGAAAGGCAGAGGTCCTGCACCTATTTCTCTCCTTGTTCCCGGGCTCCCCCCTGGTGAGCGGAGGGGAGGGGAAGAGGAGGAACACCACAGGGTGATGCAGAGCCAGGCGGAAGGGGCTCCTGCTTGGCCCTGCCCAGCCAGCAAAAGGTTTTCCCAGGGAGCTGTCACGTGTGGCCAGACCAGCTACGCCAAAGCCTCTCTGCCTGAAAATCTTTAGTCCAAACGGCACCTGAAGATTCCAGTAACAAACTGAGAGGCTGTTCAGGAGAGTGGTTGAGATCCTGGACTCTGGAGACCCATGCCTGGGTGCTAACCCCAACTCTAGAACTTACTAGCTGTGTGACTAATTGTGCAATAGTTGCTAATTGTGTAACTAATTGGGCAAATGACTGAGTCTCTAGGCCTGAGTGTGCTCATCTGTAAAACTGGCATAATAAAACGGCTCACCCCATCGGGTTGTTATGAGGACTAGAAGAGTCTACCTAAAGTTTATATCTGTGCCTGGACATAGAAAGGGGACAGGAGCATCCCTTGGCAGGCGGCATGGAAAGGGCTGCCTTGTGTTTGTCTCCCATTGGCTCCAGTCTCCATCACATTCCCCTATGGATACCGAAAAGGAAGGGAGCCTAGTGATTAGCCCTCCAGGGCTTCTTACAGAGACTCTCCACCACCCCCATATTGCTCTTCCCATCACACCTGGGCGGCGTGTCCCAGGCTGTTCGTGTGAAGGTTCATCTGCCTCCTATGGCCACCACGGACCATGCCGCGTCCATCTGGGTATCCCTGATGCACAGCACAGCACCGCGCACTTCTGCTGAAAACCCTTCCTACTGAGAAATAAGCCAAGGTCTGTCAAGGTAGGCGACTTGGCGAAGGTGGCACAGCAGCGTCTGGGCGTGCTCTTGACACCAGCTCTCCCACCGCCGGCAGGTGCCAGGCAGGAGCTGTCCGTACGGTCCACCCCTACTTCTGCCACTCACCAGCCACACCATCAGGTAGGAGAAGACAGCGATCCACAGCGTGGCAAGGATGAAGGTGAGCATGAAGAACTTCTCCCAGCGGGGCTTGCTGCAGTTGGGGATGGTGACGCACAGGAGGAAGATGAGTGGCCAGGTCAACACCCACTTGGCTTTGTCCCCTCTTGCTTCTGCAGAGGGATGGGGCGGAGCCAGAAGGGAGGAGGAGAGAAACACACACTGGGTTACACACCTGCCAGTCTACCCGTCGGTTTATTTTTTCAAGCCAAACAAGAGAATGCTACGAATGTGACTCCTAGCAACGGACTTCACAGAATCACACACCTTCATACTGTCAACCTGGAAGCGATCTTAGCAAGACAGTTAAGTGTTTGTTGATTGAATAACCTCTGTCAGTCCAAATCCTTTATTTGACAGGATGAGGAAAGTGAGACCCAGAGCTGAAACAGATTCACACAGAGCAGCTGGAATGGGGATGTAGAATACACGGCTAGGCTTTGGAGTCAGACCTGGGCTGGAATTCAAAGGACCTTGAGCAATCCTCTCAACTCCACTTCCTCCTCTGACAATAACAGCTGTAAGTAACAACAGCACAATAGTTGATGCAGGGAATATTTGCTACGTGTAGCAGGCATAGTGCTAAGCATTTTGCATCTTAGTAGTTTCTTAACCTGTTAAATGGGAACATTATCTCTTTCTTGGTTCTTGCAAAAATGACATGATACAATGCACTTAAAACAGCCAGCGCAAAGAGCCTGGCACAGCAGGTGCTCTGGAATTCTCAGCTCCTTTGCTCCAAGGTCACATAGCCAGTGGCAGATGCAAGACTAAAATGTGGTGTGCTGCTGGCAGGCATAACCTCGCTGGCCCCTACCAAGGGAATCCACAAACAATTCAAGAGGAGAAGTGGCCTCAAAAGCCACTGAGTGCAAGCATAGTGTCCTTAATAAGCCACTGGGTATTTTGAGCACATGCAAGCTCAAAATAGGCTTGTGGGTGATGCCAACGAAATGGTGGAGGAAGGACCTCTGAAAATTCTCTCCTCCATAAAAGCAATGAGAACACTAGCAAAAATGGTCAGAGTCAACTTGTTTTATTTTATTTATTTTAAAATTTATTTATTTATTCTTGGCTGCGTTGGGTCTTTGTTGCTGCGCGTGGGCTTCCTCTAGTTGCGGTGAGCGGGGGCTGCTCTTCGTTGCGGTGCACGGGCTTCTCATTGCGGTGGCTTCTCTTGTTGCGGAGTATGGGCTCTAGGTGTGCGGGCTTCAGTAGTTGTGGCACGTCGGCTCAGTAGTTGTGGCTCACGGGCTCTAGAGAGCAATCTCAGTAGTTGTGGTGCACGGGCTTCAGTAGTTGTGGCACGCGGGCTTCAGTAGTTGTGGCTCACGGGCTCGAGAGCGCGGGCGCAGTAGTTGCGGCACATGGGCTTAGTTGCTCCGCGGCATGTGGAATCTTCCTGGACCGGGGCTCGAACCCGTGTCCCCTGCATTGGCAGGCGGATTCTTAACCACTGAGCCACCAGGAAAGCCCCTCAACTTGTTTTAGAACTCTGGAAATTAACGAAAGCCTTGTAGCAATCCAGGGAGTGTTTATTTAAGAAAATTGGCTGGGTATTAGTAAGAACAGTGAACTTTATATAGAATTTTAACTTGCCCTGTTTTCATTCCCTTTCATCAGTTTTGGAGTAGCCTTGAAAAACCAGTAGCCCGGCATCCACCAGAAAGGGTAGGACAGGATTAGAGCTCCTTCCAAGTCCATTCCCAGAGGACTGGCATTATCTGACCTGTCTGCTGGTTTCCTGGAAGACCCCACTTTCAAGGACGTCTTTATTTTACCTGAATCAGAGCTCACCCAGTATGACTAGCCTTTTCCTTGAGGGCATTTGTTGAAAACAGTCAGGGGCACTTGTGGAAAATTGTGCAGCCTGAGGTGGTGGATAACAGTTGGACAAACAATAGGTTAACGAAAAAGCTTAAAGGGAAAAGCTGGTAGTGAGATTTCCATAGAGGGCCTGGAAAAGCTCCCACATAGTTCTGGGAATCTCAAAGTCCATGAGCATGCATAAGGCTGTTCCCAGGGTATTTTCAGGCTCAGGAAAGACTTGAGAACGTCCTAAGCTTTCACTTCTGCCTAAAACTGAGACTCTGAGAAAACAAGAAGTAAAGGCCAAGGTGGAGTTGTAAACTGCCTGCCTGGGTGTTAAAGGCGTGCCCCCAAACACACACAGAGCCCATCAGCAAAGACTGGGAGACTTGTTTCACCCAGGCATTTAAAGAAATCTCTGTGCAATCATTAGATGACCTTAGGCTAACCTCACAGATATTTCAGTGGTCAGGCAACAAAGAATATAGATTTTACAGAATTAGAAAAGTCACCAAACAAACAACAACAACAGTAAAGCAACAACAAATAGTCCTGGGAAAGGGGAAGGATGTGATTTCTTCTTCTTATTCTACATTATATTATTTTATTCATTTATTTTTAAGTTTTTCATTGGTATTTTTACTTAACAATTCATAAAGGGAGGAAAAGATTAATAAATATATTCTTTTAAATGTCCAGTTTCAACAACAAAAATTACGAGACATGCACAGAAACAAGAAAGTATGGCTTATACATGGAAAAAAAGCAGTTAATAGAAACCATCTCTGAGGAATTCCAGATATTGGATTTACTGGACAAAGGCTTTAAATCAGCTCTTTTTGTTTGGTGGTACGCGGGCCTCTCACTGTTGTGGCCTTTCCCGTTGCGGAGCACAGGCTCCGGACGTGCAGGCTCAGTGGCCATGGCTCACGGGCCTAGCGGCTCCGCGGCATGTGGGATCTTCCCAGACCGGGGCACAAACCCGTGTCCCCTGCATCGGCAGGCAGACTCTCAACCACTGCGCCACCAGGGAAGCCCCTAAATCAGCTATTTTAAAATATGCACAAAGAAGTTTTAAAAATGTCTCAAAAACAAAAGGGAATTATGAGAATGATTTCTCATCAGAGAGTATCAATAAGGAAGTAAAACTTACAAAAAAGAGCTGACAGAAATTCTGGAATTGAGAAGTGCAATAACTAAAATGAAAATTTTACTAGAGGGGCTCAATAGCAAATCTGAAAAGGAAGGAGAAAAACATCAGTGACCTTGGAGATAGGTGAACTGAGATTATCTGGTGTCAGGAACAGAAAAAGAGTAAATAAAAATGAACTGTGCCTCAAAGACCTGTGGCACACCATCCAACATGCCAACGTATGCATAATGGGAGTATCAGAAAGAGAGGAGAGAGAAAAAGGGGCAGGAAGAACACTTGAAGAACTCATGCTCAAAAACCTTCCAAATCTGATGAAAAACATAAATATATACATTCAAGAGGAATATACCTTCTTTTCAAGTTCACATGGAACATTCTACAGGATAGGCAATGTGTTAGGTCATAAAACAAGCACCAATACATTTAAAAGGATTTCAATCATGCAAAGTGTATTCTACAACCATTCCACATTGGAAAGAAATTAGAAGGCAGTAACAGAAGGAAAACTGGAAGATTTACAAATATGTAGATATTAAATAACACATTCCTAAACAACCAATGGGTCACAGAAGAAATCACAAGGGAAATGAGAAAATACTTTGAGATGAATGGAAATGAAAACATAACATACCAAAACTTATGGAATGCAGGAAAGCAGTGCTTAGAGAGAAATTTACAGCTGTAAATTCCTATATTAAAAAGGAGGAAAGGACTTAAATCAATGACCTAACTTTCTACCCTAAGAAACAAGAAGAGCCAATTAAGTTCAAAAAAAGTAGAAAGAAAATAATCAAGATTGAAGTAGAAGTAAGTGAAATAGAAAAACAAAACAAAACCCAGAATCAAGTAAACTAAAAGGTGGTTCTTAAAAAGATCAACAAAATTGACAAACCTTTAGCTAGACTGACCAAGAAAAAAAAGTGAGAAGACTCAAATTACTAACATCAGGAACGAAAGAGGGACTCCACTAAGGACCTTACAGAAATAAAAAGAATGATTAAGGAATACTATGAACAACAGTGTGCCAACAAATTAGATAACCTAGGTGAAATAGAAAAAAATCCCACAAAGACAGAAACTACCAAAAGTGACTCAAAAAGAAATAGAAAATCTGAATAGACATAAAACAAGAGACTGAAACAGTAATCGGAAAAGCTTCCTTTAAAGTAAAGCCAGGACCAGATGGTTTCATGGGTATTTCCACCGAATGTTTAAAGAAGAATTAGCATGAGTCCTTCATAAAACTCTTCCAAAAGACAAAGAAGGAGGGAACATTTCCCGATTTGCTCTATGAAGCCAGTAATACCCTGATACCAAACCCAGACATCAAGAGAAAACAACACTACAGACCAATATCCCTTATGAATATGAATGCAAAAATCCTTAACAAAATTCTGGCAAACTGAATCCAGCAACACATAAAAAGGATTATATACCACGACCAAGGGGGATTTATCCCAGGAATGTAAGGTTGGTTTGACGTAAGAAATTCAATCAATGCAATACACCACATTAATAGAATAAAGGACAAAATGGCACGATCATCTCAATTGAGGCAAAAAAGTCATTTGACAAAATCCAACACCCTTAATTAACAAACTAGGAATAGGAAATTTCCTTAGCCTGATAAAGGGCATCTATAAAAACCCCACAGCTAACATCATACTTAATGGTGAAAGGCTGAAAGCCTTCAACAAGATGAGGATATCTGCTCTTATCATTTCTACTCAACATTGTTTTGGAGGTTTGAGCCAGGGACAGTAGACAAGGAAAATAAGTAAAAGTCACTCAGATTGTAAAGGAAGACATAAAACTATCCCTATTTGTAGATGGTATGATCTTGTATAGAAAACATTCTAAGGAATACACAAGCACACACACAAACACACACACACACACACACACACACACACACACACACACACACACAAACTGTTAGAACTAAGAAACAAATTCAGCCAAGCTGCAAGATACAAGATCAATATGCAAAATTCAGTTGTATTTCTACACACTAACAATGAACATCAAAAACATGAAATTAAGAAAACAATTTCCATTTAAAATAGCATCAAAAAGAAAAAAAATACATAGAATACATAGGAATAAATACAACAGAAGATTAGTACGCTGAAAACTAACAAACATTGTTGA